AAAAAAAAATTTGGCAATTATTACATTCGATAAAGCAAAGTTTAACTTTAAGAATCTGTTTTTTTAATTCCAGCACGTAATAGTTTTTACGGAGTTGGATAATCAAAATGTTAGTTTTACTTAATCCGCGACAATTCAGTATCAAAAAAATCTTAGGAATATTTAAAGAAAAACAAGATTTTATTTTAGGGAAAACTTTAAGCTTTTCCATTAGAAAGTCGAAGATTTTTGTAAATATTCTTTGGATACGTGACAGACTCACAAAGTAACCAAAAAATTTCCTATTTTGCTCGTAGTGTGTTTTCTATACCTAATATATAAAAATTTCCGAACTTATAAAAACTCAAAAGATATAATAACTTTTTAACCTTTTTTAACCTTTTGAAAGAAGAGATTTTAAGCTTTAAAATCCTTTTTTAAATTTTATCCTATTTTTTATGCTAATTTATCTTATATATCTACTTTAAATTAAATTTTATTCATTAACAAAATTACAGTTTGAATTTAAAAGTAACGCTACAAACTTTTGTTCCAATTCAATAAAAATATCGATGCATAATGTATTTTTCTCTTCTACAAATTTTCATTTATTCGACTTAATTAACTCATTTACAATAATTAGTTAAAAGGATGAAAATTGGATGAAAATTGTGGGTTTTAGCGCGCAATATAAATTAATGAATAAAATTTATTTTTAATATGAAAGTTTGAACATTAATTTTCATTTATCGAAATTTCGAAAGATCAAATTCTCAAAGCGTAAAAGTAAAGAAGAAAAGTGCATTGGCAACTACTTATTATATAATCTCGCATTCAGAATACGATCGATAAATTCCTTCTGACGGGATTCGTCGGTTTCTCCTCGTCATTAAAACTTGCAGCAAGAACGAAACCTTCTTACGAAGCAGCGATTAATGTATAGTGAATGTGTGCCTAATATCTCTTAGTAATAGTTTAAGACGTTCGCCAAGATGAAGAGAGGAAAAAAGAGCGAGAGAAGGAAGGAGAGAAAAACCTCGGACATATAATTTCTTCTCGCGCGAGAACTTTAGTGTTTGCGAATGTGGAGCATTAACTCAAATGGCGGTTCGCCGTGGAATAATCGACGACTACCGAAACTCGAGCACGTATACATGTGGCGGCCCCGTTAATCTTCATCCGTACCCTTAATCTCGTAAATAGCTGGGGCGCGACTTCGTTGGCGTTTGGTCGGCGCCACCGCGAAACGCGTCAGCGTTAATTACATTTATGTGTTTCACATTTCACACGTTCGCGAATAACGCGAAGACGCACATTTTTGTTACTTAACGCGCGACACCATTATATCGTTTGGTACCGGCCGTTAAATCGGTCGGCCACGAACAATCATCGTTTTCAAGCTAGTCACGATCGCAGTCATTTCCTCCTCGTCGAAACGATCCTTGGCCCACCCTTTCCATCTTCGTTCCGACGGGAAACGAATGAGTCGCTCACAATTCCAGCCGCGTATCGACCAAAGCTCATTACGACATTACTCGTGCGTCAACGTCGGCATAACGATTAATTCTTTCTTTGTTATCGTGGTATACAAGTTACCTGCATAGGTACTGCACAAAGGAGATCAAGGTTGCTGAACATTCTGTTACCTACTTACATTACTTTAAGATTAATCTTGAGATTTTTAAGCTTTTTTTAAGCTCAAGTACTAATTAACTATATAATTAAGTGCTCAGTAACTATATATTCTTATACTTAGGCACTAATTAACTGTATAATTATTGATGGAATTTTAGCATAGTAATTATTTTTTATTTTTCTACAATATTTGTGTATTTTGCATACCTATATATTTGACAATGATAAATTTAATACTTTATGTGTACACTGCGTCTTAGATTTTGGCAACGGAAAAATTGAACATTTTGCTTGCGCATTTATTTAGATAGAGAAGAATGATGTTGACTTTTGAAATTTTTATCTACTTACTTATTGAATTTGATATTATTTTATGATAAAAATTGCGTGGGAGATTTTTAGTAGATATTTTACGTTAGTGTAATATTAAGATCTTTTATTACTTGTAATTATTTTTTATTCAGCTTTAATTTATAATTAATTTTGTAACTAAAATTTGCTATTTATGTTATTTTAGTCATGTTTAATTATTTACATATATATCTCTTTATTAGAGATGGATCGAGATAACATGAAACCCGCTAAATGACCCATAAATTTTTGATCATAAGTAAATCTGAGAAACATAAAAATTATATCATTATAACAAAGGAAAATTAATAAATTGTTCAGAAAAGATTTATGTTTTTTTTTATTTTAAAATAATGTATAGGTTTCAAAAAACGGAAAATATATATATATATATATAATAATAAATTAGAAGACATGTATAAACATAATTACAAAAAATGTTTAAGAAAGAAAATATAAAAATATAGTTTTAAAATAAATATGTATATATGAAAAAAAAAATATATATATATATATTATATGATAAAATAAATATGTATATATGAAAAATATTAATCAAGTAGATGAAATAACTATAAAGTAGCAATAACTCAAATAAATCAAGAAAACATTTGCCATCAAAGGATCATTGTAAAACAAATCATACTATTATAGCAAATAGATAATATAAGTTTTATATGATAAATCAATTCTTAGCCACTTTCTCTCTCGTAATATGGAAGCGATTAAGTTTGATCCCCCAAGAATTACTAAAAGCATCTTGTTTTCTTGTTTGTCCTTTCTAATTAGTACCTACACGTATACTTATGACTATGACGTATATCGTCGTCATTCCAATCACGCGTTTGGTTTCGATATCCTGCCATTTATGGTAACATTACGACAACGAATTTCAGTTGAGAGTGCAACCGACGAACGTGCATTGCGTGTATCATGTGCATGCAATATACGGCGCACTGTAATACACGACATCTCGAAAATTACATACGGTCTCTTACCACGTAACAACAGCAAGAACTTCCGTGTAGCCGTTATCAAGATCGCTCGGCTTTATATCGCAAAGTTGCTGGACCAAGGTATCAATTATATGTATTTTTCGCGAAATCTTGCAAGAAATCTGCTAGTCGGAAACATTGTGTTCACATCGTCCTGTATTATAGACAAAAATAAAGTTTTAATACTTGGTTTCTATTTTCCTAAAAAAATTAGAAATTTATTTTGCAATGTAAATATTTCTGTTCTATTTTTGTCTTCTGAAAATTACAACAAATTAATCTCTTTCTCCTTGGAATAAAATTAAAACGTTAAAATTCCATACTAAAAATTTAAAATGTCTATTAAGGTCGAAGCTGGATCTTCATTGCTTTTAAATAATTCAATCTTGAATTACTAATTTATACTATGTATGTACTTACATATATATCATATTGTAGTCTTTTCAAACAGCGAATTGTTATAAATTTATTGCGAAAAATATCCCGGCCGAGGTAATATTTTTCGCAATAAATTTTTTTAACAATAAATATTAACGCAATAAATATTAACAGTTTTTCGATATATTAACATCTTTATAATGTGATGCTTGATTGTAGTATCTTACTAGAGTAGTTTTAATTGTGTTTATAGTCCAGAAAAACATTCGACATGCTTTGAAAAGACTACAATATGGTACATATGCAAGTACATATATAGTATAAATAAGTAATTCAAGATTGAATTATTTACAAGCATCGATCAGCTTCGTAATAGGTATTTTAAATTTCTAGTATTGATCGTGTTTCTTACATATGCGGTCTAAAATAAAGATTCTTAATATTGATAAAATTCCATTTTGTTTAAGAATAAAAATCGAAGATAATGAAAACAGTACTCATTAAAAAATAAACGCAATTATATAATATTTTCCCATTAATCCTATAATTACAAACGTAGACTTTATATGTGTTGATCTCTCATGAAAAATATTTTAGTATCTTAATAATTTATTATTATTATTATTTACATTTACATATTATAAAATTCTTAAAATTCTTTAATGCATTAATTTAACTATCAAATATTTTAATATTAAATCCTCGGTTGTACTGTAATATTATAAAGAAATATTTCTTAATTTTTATAATAATATCGTACGCGCAACTTTTTTATACACAATGATCAGAAAAGAATAAAATTAAATCGATAACATTAAAAATTAGTAGGTACTATTTCATAATAAACGCTTGTACTTATTAAGCACTGTTTGAAAAAGTTTAACTTCAGAATAATAATTTTTAATAATATAACTTTATTATTGAGTTCACTTAACAAATAATGTTTGTACTAAATTTCATACTATAATGTTAAAATTACTAAGATATTACAATAATATTGTTTATAAGGATATTGTACTTATAATATTATAGTACTTAATAGTACTTAATAAATTAAACGAAATTTTATAAAGTTTTGCAAAGAAATTGATAATATTGACTGTTATTATGATGAAGTATGCAAATACCTTTCCCTATAAAATATAGAATAGGATAAAATAAAGTTAAAGGAAGACACACATTCAATTGCATACCGATGTTATTTTACGAGTTTATAATTCGTTCAGTTCTATCGACATAATTCACCGACATTAAGTTATGCACAGCGCATATTGGCTCAAATTTGTCGCGTAGAAAGTTTTGCGAAAAGCGTGATAATAATCACAATAATCGAAATCACTAATCTAGACATACAGTCTAAGGTTGAAACTGCACATCAGGGGATGAAAAAGATATGAGACTTTACTTCTTCAAATACGAAACAAAATGACAATAAATAATTCTTACCTGTAAAAATTAATCGTCCAAATTGATCACTTCTGCTTTTAGATATTAAATTAATCGTTAAATTGATCATCCGATCTATCGCTTCATCTACTGCTTCTTATAGAAATTAATTTAATCCTCTGAATTGTGATAATTCTGTTCAGTGCGATGAAAAATGTTTCCAAGAAATGCTATAGAAAATTACGTTTATTCTTACGAAACGTTTTATTGTTGCAGATATCAAAATGGGTTGTTTCGGAAGCAAAGACAAGTTGAGCAAAGAAGATATGGACTTCCTCAAGTCGCATACGCGATACGACGAAGCGACTATAAAGGAATGGTACAAAGGTTTTAAAGTGAGTATTGAAAAGATATTACTGGATATTAAATTATGGATCAAGAATTAGATCGAATTTACTATAAACCGGTAATTTTTTTGATTTCGTATCTTTCACAGCGATCTTTCACTTCAATTTCGCTCCGTGTATTCTCACCGTAATCGCATACTTTTCCTATGATATATTACGACAATGACAATAAAAGATGTTTAAACAAATGCTTTGTTGGGAAATGAAAAATTTCGCACAAACTGTACCTCCAGCGTTGAAAGAACAGTTTCTAGAGAAACTGAGAACTTCACATTTATTTCCGTGACCTATTATTAGAATTCTTAAATCATTTAATATCTCCATTATTTTTCTGTGCGTAATAACGAGCATGAGATAATGCGAATATGAGCGTGATGAAAAGATCTAGACAAGAAAAGTTTGCTGCAGAAAATAACTAATTTAACGTTCATGTTGCAAATATAATTTCTCTCTAAAAATTTTTTTTAATACTGAATAACATTTTAAAGTAGTTTCTTGTATATGATAAATGAATTATATGATAATATTCATTGCATTATTAATAATTCTATACAATTATCGATCATTCTTTATTAGATATTAATTTACTAATTTATTTTTAAATATTTTTAATCACATCTTAATATAGTTTTTCATAATTACAAATATTTTTTTAAACATGCAGTGCATGATAAAATAAATGTCATGATAAAATAAAATATTGATGAAAGAAATTTTTGCATTGATTTATCATAAAAATTTTGTAACACAAATATAAGTGCGCTTCTATAGAGCCATAAAATTTCATTAAAAATGAAAACATACACATAAAGAAGGAGATAAAAAAAAACATATAATTTAACAAATCGATCTAGTTTCTTAGTATTCTGAAAAAATTGAATGAGGATCTCTCATAATTTTCTGATGTATTAAAAAAGAGAGATAATTATTATTAATGGTGCTAGTTCAGCGCAACAGTAATAAACAAAAATTTACAAATCAGTAATTTATGAAAATCTGTATAAATATATGAATAAAATTGATGCAAATTCATTAATAAATGTTGCCATGCCACATGTATATTTGTAACACGTGTCAGTTAGAATCAATATGCAGCCACTCGTAGTCGCAATTATGACATGTAAAATACGCTGCGATATTTTCACAAACGTATGCGGCTAAACGAGAAACTGTATATCTCTTTTCTTCGTAAAGAAGCAGAGAGAGAATGATTATACGAAATTATACGAGGGTTTTAAGGTTCTGAAATTGCATAAATAAGAAGAAATTTGCAGTTAAATTATAACATATTTTAGCAAAAAATATGTTTAACTGTAGTTTATTCCAACTGGAAAATATGAAACTTAATTTAAATGTAATGACGTTTTACAAATATTTTTAAGTAGATGCGTTTTATAAATATAAATTTATATATAAATTTATATTATTATAATATATGAATATTTATAAATATAAATTTAAATATGAATTTGAGTACACATAAATGCAAAGTACTCAATAATGTTATTGTTAACACTATTTGTCTCATTATATTGTGTAATGCTTTATCACATTTTATTTATAATTAAAAATTAAAATGTAGCATGATTAATGTAACATAATTAATAGAGATATCTTTATATCATTGATATTTATCATCCAATATTAATATGTTATTTAATAAAAAATAGTCGTTTGAGAAGCTAATTATCGATATGTTCATTTAGTTATTATATGGCAAATATTAATTTATTTCTCACATATTCGACGCGTATAAATAAATCACGACGCGATGAGTTTCGTAATTTACGTTTTAAATATTCAGTATATTGAGACATGATGTACGTGCGACATTACAAATTTATAATAATATTTAGTTATTGGCACATAGATCATTATTAGATCTAATTAGGACATTATTATCTTAGCGCACATTATCTCATTCGCACAACGCGAATAACATGTCTGTATATAATTTATAATACAGCATATAATATAAATATTTATTTACCGTTGCTTGAAACTAACCTTTATAATATTATGCTTATAATTTCATACAATTACACGTATGCTGTCAACATTCGTTGTTTAGTCGCTATGAGTAATTATCGCAATTTGATGCGAATGCATATGTGAAATAGCAAATATTATGTAGACTATCAGACAAATTACAAGTGTCTTTCGAATCTGAACTTAAGAGCTGATTAATTTTCAAGTACTAACACACGATGCCAAGTTTATAAATACGTTAGAAAGTACCGTTAACAATATTGTTAACAATATTTCAAGCATTTCTTATAAGATACTTAAATCAATCTATACTATGAGAATTCGACCGAGCTGCGACGCAAGATTCATCAGGAACAAGATGTAACGTTTTCGCGAAAGCTGCTAGTGCCGCAGAAAACTTTACTTTCTCGAACAGTTTAAACGGGCGCGGATCCAAAGGAGCTCGTGGCGACCGGATTAATTAAACTAAGCAGAATCATTATAGTGGACGTTCCAATCTGGTCGCGTTTCACAGCTGCTCATTGCTCGCTTCCTCTCGTGCTATTTGCAATGAATCTCGCACACGACTTCGTTGAGTCTATGGATTGAAATAAATGAAAACTGATCACCGCGCATCGACCTTGGCGGAGAAGCGCGGTCGAAGGAGATTGAAAAATATATCATGCGGAAGCGGCGTCGTTTGCTTCTTTTTAAAAATGAGACGAACGGCACTAGATTAAGGTCAATCTGATACGAGGGGAGCGATGACACTTAAACGATGTAATTTTTTTTCTCGGGATCCCATATCTTGCGCTCGAGACTGAGGTATATTCTGCGATCAATAGAATTCACTATACGGATGAAAGTCTTTAGTCAAATCGGTTAATTTAGACACGACATAATTTTAGTAAAGTATTTTTATTCAGACCGATTTAATATATATCTCTATATTTAATATATCTTACGCTTAAATATATGAAGAACGTACTGACACAAATATATACTCTTCTTACTTGGTACACGTAAGTGCTATTTTCGTTGACGTAAATTTGATTATTATTCAAGGTGTAACAGCATTTTGAACAATTTGTTTTCTACTATGACGTGTTTAATTTTCTTATTTTCGGAAACAAAGTTTTAATGTATTTCTATAATTTAATGTATCTCTATAATTTAATGTATCTCTATAAAAAAAAAATAATAATAGTTAAATGATAAAAAAATTAAAATTGTGCAATAAAAAATAATGTATAAAGAATTGTGAAAATGTTATGCAGTAATTAACGCAATGCGATCAAAATTTAACTTGCGTACTTTATAATTGTTATAATTATATTATTCCAACTAATATATAATTATACTATTTTATTAGATATAATTATATACCTTAGGAATGAAAAAAAAATGAAGAAAAAAACACGACGAAGGTACAATAAAAATATTGAGCTATTATTGCACATTTATAGGTATACTAATAATACTTAAAGAGAGACAAATATAGTTCAATAAATAGGAATAAAGCGAAGTAGTCCAAAAATTATGTTAGAATAGAAATGCATTACACATATGTAACATAGAAAATCCTAACTCGAGAATTCATGGTCCTGTGTTCTTTCGAATGTTACAGCAAGACTGTCCTAATGGCAGATTAACGCCGGCGAAATTTGTCGACATGTACAAAATGTTCTTCCCGTCCGGTAACGCGGAAGAATTCTGCGATCACGTGTTCCGCACATTCGACATGGACAAGAATGGCTACATCGACTTTAAGGTGAGTCCCGCAAGTATTTTACGACATACAATTGGCACAAACTGCTGTAATGACCCATGTAATAACTACCGTGCTCCCGACGGATCCTCCAAAGAAGATACGTGTCGCGCCACGTACTTGTCGTACATCGATCATTTCACGTGATTAAACATAATCGCGACAAAATCTGCTCGCCTGAGCGACTCAAAGAAGTGCGTTATAGTCACCGCAATACTTCCATCGCGAAGAGAAGATTGCACTTTTATGACATGAAAATATCGTTCGCATGAATTTAGGTCGACTGGCGTGAAACGGGAAGTTTGAATATCGGAAATTTATCGAGAACTGTAATCTATATACAGAAGTGAGAAGAAACGATTGGTCAACAATGTGTAAAGACGGTAAAATGATGTACTAAGACATAAAAGATTTCCATCTTGGCACGGAAGCGCGCAAAGGAACGTGAACGGTGCTACATCCGATTATACGCTCGACAAATGCGACGACATAAATCTTTTCCGAGACTTCAGACCGCGTATTCCTTCGTACCCGGTTATCCGTGATTGTGAATTTATGTTCTTTATAATCCGCGTAAGTCATTAATAATACATTATTCATACGACACGATGTAAGTATTACAGCCAAGCTCTCCATCACTATTCGTGGTCCCTTCTCGCTCCGTAGCTTCGTAACTGCTTTGACTCGAAATTCTCCAAGAGAAATGCCTCACGTCACACATGGTTTCCGTTTGCAAGCACAACGAGCGAATATTCTCGTTCGTCATCTTGATATGCTAATCGGTAATTTAATATAGTTCAAAGGTGCGACGAGTCGTGTTTGCCTGTCGGCGAATAGCTATTTGATATCTGACCCGAATACGCCGGATAAAACCCCAAGCTTTGTCTAACGTCGTGCTTTGTAAGATGATCTCTCATCGCATCGCTGATCAAAGTTATCCTAGAGGAACTATATAATTCGCCATAGAAAGGCATTCTTCATGATGTAAATGACGCACGACTTTTTTCAGCTATTTCACCGTGACAAGAATCATCTTGTCTTATTCTTATCTCACCCGTCGCTGTATTCTATTTTTAATTTTCAAGAAAGTGTCATTCTTGCGATCTTTATAATAAATTATAAAACTTATACTAATATATTAATATTCTTATTATAATGTTTTTATCTTTTAAAGATAATTTAGAGAGAATAATAAAAAAATAATATGAGTAGAATGTATAAAATACATAAAATATATAAAATCAGCATACAAACTATGAAAAGTAGAGAAAAGTGTAATATTGTAATTTTATTGAATTGATATAATTACAAAAGGATTTAAAAATAACAATTGTATTTATTTTTATATTATTACAACGATTACATTGAAAGAAAATATCGTGATATTACACATTACAGTCATTTTCTTCCACATGTTCCCTAATATACTAAAGATAAAATAAATAAAAGAGAGAAAGAAAAATAGCAAGAGAGAAAATTACTTGTACTTTGAAATGTTATAAGAAATTCTATATTACATATTCGGATGAATATAACATATATGAATAAATATATATTAAAAATCTCTAACATTCTCTGTAATAATTGCATTAATATTATTATATTATTAAAAAGTAATATAATACAGTAATATAATATTGTTTATTTTATTTTGTGAAACGTATTAAAAGATATTACACTAGATTTTGGCAAAAATGTAATCAGAGATATTTGATGAGGACATTGAAGTGTTTTATAAGATTTCAGATTAATATGTTGCATTAATATGTTCCATTTTCTGTCTTTATATCGTGTTACGTTGCAGCAACTAATTGTCTGCTCAGCGAATGCGTTTCTTCTAACAGAATTATTGTGGGGCAAGCTAACTTCAATATGTCTTTTATGCAAACTTTCATGTTAATAAATTAATTACTCATAAATTACTCATTCGCTTAATCAAGGCTCTTGTTTATAAATATTGTGTTATATGCTTATAATAAATCATTTACATCTTATTTTATCGAAAAGTTTTACGTAACATAAGATTCTATGTAACATTTAATGATATAATGTAATTATACACGTTTGATAATATTTCATTTCAATAATGAAAAATTATTGTTTCATATCTCAATATTGAATATTATGAGAATTAGTTTTTAATTTAAAGTTCTGCAAAAATAAAATTCTTTTGTAATTAATCGAAATACGAAGTTATCTATTCACAAATTAATAAAGTAAAATTAGTAAGTGAAATATGGGATTTCTTATCAATTATTAAAGGTCCGTGATTTATTAAAACTAATTGAAATGTAAAGTTGGGTATTACTTGAAACTAATCAAAATACTAAATTTATTATCTATTTACATTTATAAAACTTAACTTACGAAAATTATCAAGGTATTAAATTACCATACCTCGCTTCTGTTATAAACTTTCTGAATGAAAAACAGACATTTGCTTCCAATTCCTTCATTAAAATTTTATTCAAATGCAAATAGTAGAAAAGAGAAAGAGAGGCTATATATTTGACGTAAATTATTCAAAATGAGAATACGCAGAATGACTGTAATTTTACAAATTATATTTTATTATTGTACGAAAGTACAATGATTAGAATTGCTTTCTTTTTATATAGAACATCGCAGAAATAACAACGAACTATACACAATAAATTATTGTTCATTGTTTTGAAGTAATATTGAACATGCTAAAACAAACTAATCTATGTTCCAAATCACGAATATACTAACTTTGTCCAAGCAGTCCATCGATGCGGACGTTTAATGCTAGTTGTAAGATGCAATCTGCCTCGCGCCTGTATCTCGTGGTCATGCAACACTTAAGAAATTTCGCGTTGAGATGACAAAGTTTCGCCGGAGTTTCATCGATATGTAAGCTCTATTGTAAACTGACTTCATCGCGAGCCGAAGTTCTGTTTATGTGCAGCATATATATACGCTCACGTAAGCTCGTAAACGATTATTATTCCGATATTAAGTAAACCTTCAATGAGACGATTTCTCGCGCAATTGCATTATGTCGCTCATAATATCGCAACATTTGAATAGTATCGGTAAAAGTATAAACATTTGCAGCCCTCAGCGTAAGCTGAAAATATGCGAGCTTTATCGATAAGCCGAGACCAAACATTGGTAATCTCTATTCGATTTTTATTATCCTATCGAAATGAATAGCTACCTATATATAATATAAAAATCCGCTCTTTCTTTTGCGGACACTTTCCCGTTCTCCCATCACGTTTCCTATGGATATAATAACATCAGGTTCCTTACTTATTTTTCTTCGAGGAAAATCCAACAAAGTCGTCGACTGAATTTGACTCTTACGACATCGTCTAAATAAGAAAAGTCTCTTTATAGTATAACGTCTTCCAGAACGACGTCGTCGATAATAATAGCAGTTATAATAAGATGAAATTCATGGAAAGAATGTGTACATATCTCTTTTTTAACAAGAAATTTTATAGCATTGTTCGACGTTAATGAAGTTAAGTCGTGATGAAACCGAAAATTAGTTTCTTATTTATTATATTTATTTTCTTATTTGTTAATTGTATTTTTATTAAATGCGAGAGAGAGAGAGAGGGAGAGAGAGAGAGAGTTGATCTTTCTTTTTGTCTCTCTAAAAAGCAGCTTGGAGAATATCTAAAATTCCTATTCTTTATATATTTTATATACATTTATATATATATTTTTTATATATTTTTTAACTTCTGTAAATAAATTTTACGTAATATTTTCACATAAATTTTAAGTTTATTTCATTTTTATGCTTCATGATGCAGCAATTACTTTATTTAAGAATTTATAATTTTTAAATTAATTCTAGATATTACGAAGAACTAATAATAATAAATTTGGAATAAACGAATGAATATGCGATCTTATTTAAATAATATAAGCCTACAAGGTTGTCCTTATAATTTCCTTAAAAGTGCGAACAATTTAAAATTCTTGCAAATCTCAAATATATAAATATATATTAATATATTTTTTGTTTTTAAAATAATCGAAAATATTTTGTATATTGTTTGACGACAAACTTTCTCTAATTAAACTTCAACAACTTTCGCAGGGAGGAAGTAATGAATTAATTCAAGCAGTTCGCACATTGAAAAGCCATTAGAGATTTAGCTAGAACTTCCGGCAATTTAAACTTATTTCTCGAACAATTCCGACGGAACGTGATAAATGACGGACGGGTCAGCTATTTCAGCATTCTTGCAACTTTTCTTATTTAGAAGAACTCAGATTCCGTTTACATTTATCGTCTTTCCTTTGGACTGAAATCTCAGGAATCGAAAACAGCTCATTCTGCATAAACAGTGCTTTGCACTCGCTCAGTGTATCCTAATATATTACGAGTGACATGACAAATATTCTTCAATGTCAGGACGTTGATATACTCCTCTGCTTCTTTGAGAGGATTTATACGGTATCTTCTGTATACTTCCGTCGGAAGTTACTCGAACGGTATCAAACGATATTAAATGCATATACAATGTTTCACGTATAACACATCTAAAAAAGATATTTTTTAATTTTGAATATCGCTTGGCTTTTTGTATTAAAGTATAATCTTTTTAAAAAAAGATTAAATCAATTCATGAATATGATAAAAGATATATAAAAGAAAATAACAAAATTATTCAATATACGAAATTTAAGTTTCATTTATTTATTATCATTCTAACATTAAATTAATATATTATAAATTAATGTTATTGGATAAAAAGTTTTAATTTATTTTACACATTATCTTACTTATGAAAAATGTGTTACATATTTTGACAAGTTTGTCGTTTTTTTTTAAATTATTAAAACATTCGACATCAAACAAATTTCGATTAAAAGCAAAGAAAGCAATCCTATACATTTTATATATGTACAAATGTGTAATATAGTTTAAAAATAGAACGTAAAAGTTATTTTTTGATAACTAAGCCAAATATTGCTCTTTTATTGTAGAGGAACTAATACAACTTTTCTATTATTTTAGAATTTGCGAAAATTTTGAGGAAAATAGCTTCAGTTACACCTTCTCCTCAACGGAAACTTTTCGCGCGACGTACCATGTAATTGCATTGTTGCTCTCGGACGCACCATTTAGGACTGAAAGTTAACTCGGTAGACTTCTCTCCAAAGCTTATTTTGAAAGGACGTTTTGTGATTCCTAATTTTATTCTGTATATGTATAATTTACTTCCGTTTATCACTTGATGATACATTTATTTCATTCTCTAGTAGGTAAATTATATTAGTCCATCAATTTCTTAGGTTGTTTAATATTAATTATTTAATATCTGAATACAGAGGAAGAATCAACTTATCTGTTGTAGCAATTGTAGGTACAATTGCTATAACAAAAAAATTATACAATTTTTATATTATATAGAATTAATACATCGTTCAATAAACTGTTTTGTAATTATAATAATTACAAAATAGTTTTTTTAAATTATGTACATTAATTCTACACATTATTCTCTTGTCAGTTTCAAAAGTGTAACAATTAGAAAAATGTAATTTTTGAATTATGATGAATAAAATAATTACAAAACGTACTCGGTAAAAAATTTAGGACAAATATTTACGAGTTTAAGTTTCGCGTTACGCGTTTGCGATAGCTTTAAACAATTTTTATTTATATACGGTCATGATTTTATTTATAAAACTAAAATCATCAGAAACCTTTTAAAGATTTCTTAATAGAACTTCGAGTTTTACTTACTGAATACAGTTACATAAAATAAAATGTTAGGGTGTTCACTTACGTTGTGAACGTTGTGGTAAAGTAAAAGGTCATACATCATGTTACCCGTGTGCAAGAAAAAAGTGTATGTTTTACAAAAAGCTTTCCTGTACTTTTATGTCCATCCTTGAATCACGAACAGGCTTGACCTTTTTCTTTTTCTTAAAAAGTCCTCGATCGCAATCCTTCTGAGACTGCATTTCCATTAGCGTTGGGCACCAAGATCCATTTTGAAAATCCACTTCGGAACATTCGTGTTTGAAGGTACATTTCTCAATGTTCGAAGTTGCTTAGTTCGTTTTGAAACGTCCTTCCCGTATTTTGTACTGTATTCACTCGTTGTTTTTACTTTGCACGACGAAACATTACTTTAAACTTTTAACAGCTAAGTGTTGAAATCTTAAAGTTTGTAGAACATGACTACGGAAATAATAGTATACATGGATCGTAACTTATATAATTTAAGGATACTACAGTAAATATGAAAACTAAATGGCATTCTTACCTCTCTACAAGCGATAGGTCTCATATTTTTTAATTGACGTATCTTTAACATTATTTTTTATATAATTCTTGTAAAATGATAAATTCTTTGTATACTTATAATACATACAATTCGCGTGCGAAAATTGTAGATTAAAAGATATAAATTATTCAAAGAGCAAAACAATGTCAACGGATCTCTCAGCATATGCAATTCAATTGTATAATATAAATATATATATATATATATCACAAATATATATACATCACATATATACTTTTAAATTTATTACTTACATTTCGTATTATAATTCTAGTGGCACACAAAGCGTGGATGATTCACGACAGCGTAAAAAGATTTTAGTGCAGTACACGATTTTTGTGATTAAAAACATAATGTAAAAATTAAAATAAGTCTGCGGGAAAACCTGTATGTTTTTTCTTAAAACATATTTTGTATAGCTTCGATAATTAATTATATCGGCTTCGAGATTAGATATTTGTTCTTAAGACATAAAAATGCAGTCAAAGAAAGACTCACAGCCAAAGAAACATTTTATTTCAATATTGCGTTCCGAAGAGTTGATAAATAAATAAAAACACAAAAGGAAATATTTTAGTGTCTGTGTCTTAATATTAAGCATCTAGATATAATTCTGTCTAAAATTATAAATTTCATAAAAGATTTTATTGGAATAAGATGCAGACTGTTTATATATATATATATATAAATATATTATACATATTTTTGTTTTTATTTTACAAGAAATTATTTATATCTAGTTAATTCAAAACTACAATTAAAAATATATAAAATTATTAAATGACTGCAGAAAGATGTTAAAATAAATATATAAGCAAAATATTTAGAATTTCTCTTTTTTTTTAATGAAAATATTTTCTACATATCAAAAGTCAATTGTTGATGATAATACTTACTTTATATATTTTAATATTTTGTAATGATGTGATTTAATAGGAATTATCTTAACATTAATAACGTCCAAAACTTCTCTGTTAAAACGTTTTCGATCGGCATTATTCATTTTTGAAATAAATATAAAGAAAGTTTATATCAAAGATTGTTGCGTAAACTTGTTATGGGCTTTAGACGATGATAAATTTAATACATAAACTAAAGTGGGATAACTAAGTGTAACGTATAAATCAAATTAATGACTGTCGAAAATTGTGCGATCCACGTTTCTTTCCTGTGCCTTCACTCAACGTAAACGATGTGGGGATTCTCGATCAAAGTACTGTAATTTTTTCCATATCCACGTGTCACGCTCTACCTGAAGCCATATAATTGACGCTGAATAATAAATGTAAAAACTATTGTTATATTAATTTTAAAATAATCTGAATATCAAGTTATTAGATAAGTTATTACAATTTACAGGAAGTAATTTATGAGATAAAGTAATCATAAATAATTTACGAGCAAGAATTGATGATGCGTTATTTAATGTTATATAATAACTTAATCTACGTTCAGAAATATATTAATTATGAATAATCTAATCCCTGTTTCATTTTATTAAGTTGCATTGTAAGCGAAAAATAATTTTCTTACTTAGTAATAAAATCTTATTTTACAATTATCAGTAATGAAAAAAAAAATATTCATAAATATGTAGGATATATATTAGTATAAAATTTTTTTAAGATTTTGAATTACTAAAAAAGTTTAAAGTTTTTAATAAAGTAATAATTGCTTTTTAAAGTTTAAATTCTAGAATCTTTTTTACATGTTACATGTATAAATTTCTCAATACACTTACCAAATCCAATACAAATTAATTTTATCGAGACAGTTGATTGTATAATAGCTTTATGCATTCGAAATAATGTTTTTAATGTCCACTCTAGGAATACCAATCCGAGTATTGTTGAGAAAACTTTACTTGAGGAAAACCACTTCGCTCCAATCTCATATATTCGCTTCGCGTACATTCTCACGAGCGTGGTGTCTGTAAGGCCGCAGTTAATGGCATCACAAAGATGTTTTCTCTCCCTAGTATCGGTCGTCGTTTCTCCGGTAATGTCAGGGCTTTTCCACGGATTCTTCCGCAAGCTTCGCGGGTAAGCTGCATCTGAAATAAGTGTGAGCCTAAAGCTAGTCTTAGAAGGGAAATGGTCTTCTTTCTTCTTTTTCCCCTCTCTTTCTCTTTCTCTTTTTCTCTGAGGTCAATACGAGAAGTGACACTTCAGAGGTCAGGAAGAGCAAAGAGCCGGCTCGCCCTCCGTCCACCCTCTCTTCGTGCTATAAAGCCCTCGTCTCGTTTGTCTACCTCGGGCGGCAGGTGACCCAGTTCTGCCGGAACGTACTGGCTCTCTAACGACTCGGTAGTACTCGAAAGGTATCGGCCTGGGGCGAGAATACCCGCGTGGATTCCATGGACAAATTCGTCCGACACGATCATAGCCGCCATTGTAACATCGTATCACGACCCAGAGCTTACGCGATTTTGGCCCGGTAACACGCGACAAAGACATGACTTCAAGACGGTATATTCGCCGGTATAACGCGACATGATTATTGATAACAAATTTCTAGAATATTAAAAGTATTATTGGCGAGAAGATATGCAAGACGGTTAATTTTTATTATTTAAAATTGCCAAAAAAATCTTTCATAAAAAAATAACTCATAAAATTTCGCAGTGTTATGGAATTAGATTATTGTATGGAATTTCATTATATAATAATTTAAAAAATATAAGATAAAAAATTAGAATAAAGAAAAATTAAAAATTAAACATCTAAATCACTTCGACTTTTTTTAAAAAGCTCAGAGAATTCTTATAGGGAATATTGGAATTACTTGAAGAACTTTTTAATTTTTGTTCAATATTTAAATATTGTATTTTCTTGAGATTTTGTCTTTTTTTTATTTCTTAAAAATATAACAAGAAAATAAATTTCTCGAAAAAGAATTAAAGTTTTATGCAATGCAAAATATGTATTTTATGATAGATTATTTATAATTTCAGTACTTTTTAAAATTTAATACTCTCAAGCAACTCTTCTATAATTTTTCTACAATTATATTGGTGAAAAGAAAAAAATTAAGAAAGCAGAATAATTTATTTTTAGAGAGGAATAATGTCTTCTCATTTTAATTTCTAAAGATTTGAAAATATCTGAAGAATCAAAAAATTACTTTTTAATATTTGAGTAAACTTTTTAAAATCAATGTTTAGATCTTAACATTTTAATTGACTCAATCGACTCACCTTTGATGTTAAGACGATCTTAGATGATTTCTTCTCGGATCATTGTATTTCAAGTGAATAAATATTTTCCATAGCTTTGGCAAAGCTGTTTGAATTATGGCATCTTGAAGCCGGTTCTTCCTTCAATGCGTATCATAGGGAAAACTACACTTTGGGAAATAAATTTTCGTTTCGCACAAAAGGGAAATTCTTTTGTAGCGAAGAAATAAAAGTTTTGATATCGCGCAGCTGCGACAATGTTACTGATACAGGATACCATCGGCTTTTGTTGCAGGAATTCCTATTGGCGATCGACGTAACGTCCAGCGGCACGCCGGAAGAAAAACTGAAATGGGCGTTCCGCATGTACGACGTTGACGGCAACGGCGTTATCGATATGCAGGAAATGACGAAGATCGTCCAGGTACTGTAACTCATGAAAAATGCATGCGCTTCGATTTATCTCCACTTAGTTGCACTCGACCGCAACTCTTCCGACAGAATACAGAATTTTTTATCACTTGACGTCAGTACTATCGGCATAGTTAATCAATGAGAGAGAAAAAGAGATTCTGATATATTCAGCACAATATATTTACATTTAAAAAATGCACGACTTTCTCTTCTCCGTGTCGCAAGTTCATAATTTCATGTTTAATTGCATGTGGCACGTGTAACGTCGTTACACTTCTCTCACGATGAGAGACTTAATAATGTATACATAGTAAGAAATACAGCACGAACTGATATCTTTTTATCGATACGCACTGAATCCTATTTTTTTCTTCATATTCAACGCGGTATTCAAAATTGTTCGTAACGAGATGCAAGTATAAACAATTTTCCATTGTGACGAATATAAGTAAATATTAGCCAACGTCAACACTGATTTGCATAATTAACACGCGATTGTATAATAACAAATCAATATTGTTTTCCCGCATCTGCCTACCTTGGCTTTTGTTTTTTTTTTCTTTTTTTTTACGGTGTATTGAGTGGCGTGTGCAGCGAATATCGACGCGCTAATATTTCATGAACCTTCTTCGCGAGAGAACGGATGTCGATGTAACCACGCAGCTATTCCATTCTATGGCGATGTCTTTCTCGGAACAGAAGCGAGGCTTCGTTAAATACAGCTGTCGCGTCTCATTTTTAAATAAGTAATTAAAGTTTCAGTGCCGGTCGGTATAACGGCAGCAGGCAGTAACCGAGACGAATGGAAACTTTGTAACATGCGACCTATTGCATAATAAATTTCCGCGAAATTACTAGGTCACACTCTCCATGCGTGGAGCAAAAGCACGCTTTAATTTTTAAATGGCAGCATGGTCTTTATTGGATTTTAACATTCATTTATTTGCACTAATGTATTGCAATAATTCTGCAACGTATTTTGCAATAATGATTGTAAGCACGTATAAAATTACAGGTAAAATGTTGCCTTTAAATTTAATATTATGAGAGTCATAATTTTGTCTTATGCGATCATGTCTTTACATGAGAAAAATATGCCATTTTTACAGTAAAATTTTAATCAAACATAACATTGTGGCATAAAACGAAAGGAGTTATTGCCAAAAGTCTAGAGGTGTTCTAAAAACGCAAAAGGAACTAATAATATTTTAAACTTCCTGGGGATATATTTTAGGGGAAACTTGGGATTATTGCGCGAAAACTCGAAAATTAGGACACAAAGATAGAATCACGCTTGAGAAGCTAATTATCACATTATATTCAGGTGAATCCGAGTGAATAGGGAAACGCGTTTGTATACTAACAGAGCGTAGAAAATCATGATAAAAACGCAGCGACAATGTTATGCTTTATAAAAGTATTATTATATTATAAATTTAAAGCAGCTTTTTATTATTTTGTTTTTTTATTCAAATTTATTCTTATACGAAAAAAAATATTTATATGTTAAAATGCCTGTCATTCTGCGATAATATAATTATAATTAATATATTTATGCGCAATGAAATACGAAATAGAATATTTAGCAAAAGTTGGATGATTGAAACATAATAATACCGATCTTTCGTCAATAAATAAAAATAAGATGTATTTGATTATTGGAATAATTGTTGAAATAATTGATACTTTGTACTTTATGTCGATGTATTATCCATTTAATTACTTAGCGAATTTCTATAATATAATGAAATTTAATTAATATTATATGATATAAATATTAATACTATACAAATATTAAATATTAATATTTTAACATATTTAAAGATTTTTAAGATATTTACGTCACATCAATCCCTTGAAAATTATGGAAATGAAATACTCAGGTATTTTTAATTTTTTACAAAATTACACATCACGTATAAAAATCTGTTTATTCCTAACAAAAAGCTGATTACTTGGTATAAAAATGATCATTTCTCTAAATCTAAGTGGAGAAAATCAAAAAAGATCAAAGTAAATTTTAATTATCGATAAAAAGTTTTGCCAGGAAAAGTTTTATTCTTTACACTTTGTGATACGTTATCGCTTTCGTTAAAAAGCTCATTGAGCCGCCTGGTCGCGTCCGTTAGGATATTCATCTCTACACTATTAGAAGTTCGGAACTACCGCGACTTCCACGGAAATTCCGACAACCAGGGCTTTCCGCCCTCGATGAAAATTAACAATGGAATGTTTGGTGAAACTCTATGCATCCTTGTTTAGCATTTGACCTGTGAACATCTACAACCACTGTAACTCATTTGACCGTACATTTCATTCTCGACACTCCGAATATCCTAACAGTGGTTGTTGTAAATATCTCCACAAGCAAACGTTTCATTGTTTCAAAAATGTTTGTGTGTAAAGTGATCCAACAAGAAGTGGTCAATTTACCACCATTTTTCTCGTGGTGGTGGTTTTTAGAAGCTGATGCTAGACAATTGTTATTTGTACAGTTGTTACAAAATGATATATCATTATACTATATTACTTATTGTTCGAACACATTACGAAAACAATCAATTGTGGCTATAATGGAAGGAAATAGTATGTAATTTTTTTCTAGTATAATACACTTCTAAATAGACAATTCAAAATTTAATAGCAAAATTCAAACAAAGTAGCTGCGTCATATTAAGTGATGAATATGATTTTTTTTTCAAAAACTACCATTACAAGTAATAATCAGTTAATGAGTTCTTGAGTCAATTAAATTTTATAAGCATGAAGATACAGATCTTTGATCAAAATTCGATATAATATAGTTGTTGAGAAACTCAATTATTGTGCATGATGTTTGATAATGACGATGATACGTCTACAATCAGTTTTCACGCATCCATTCGAACATCATTTTCATTTGAACGTCGTTCATGATGACATATAATGGATTTGTTTATACACATAACAGCTACTGTTGAGAATTTCAGTATTAAATTTTGAATTGTCTACTAAATCTACTTAGTAGATGAATTATATCGATCGAAAAGTGTACACACAATTTTCTTTCAAAATTCTATTCTTCTCTAAATTCGAATCAATTAAATCTGATCATTATTATGATAACAAATGAAATTCAACAGAAAAAAAAAGAAATTTGAGTGTTATATAATCAAAATACCAATATTTCCACGTTAGTTTTAATATCATATATACATTGAATTTATACATTAAGACAAAATTAGATAGGTTAGAGATTCCATGTTTCATTGATTTAATTAACTGATTACCAATATAATCCATATATAATCGCTGAATATAGAAAAATATAATTGTTTATGTGAAAACAACACAGCAGCTTGTAGTAATTACTATAACTATTGTATATTAATATTATAATTTACACAGTAGACATTGTCATGTATATGTTACATTTTAAATTTATGTTACAACGTAATTCATATTTGTTTTTTTTTTTATAAGATGATTCTACATATATAGAAGATTGATTAATTTTTTCAATAAGTATGTATTATGTAGGCAAAACTAAGAAGATTAATTTTATTTAAATAATTCTGTTTCATCGATGGGTTTACCAATTTGCGATAAAATTAATCTGCTTTATCTTACGTCTAACTGTTGTGAGAAAATAATAAATTTCGCGCATTTATCTCTGTCCAAGCGATTTACAGTAGACTAATCGGAAAAAGTACGAAAAGAGATTCTAAATAAAGAATCACTGGTGCGCTTTAGTGGCTCTCAAAAAAAGTATCTGTGCGATAAATTATATTTTTGGAGCAACATGATTTATCACTTAGTCGTGATTTGCTCAACTATAAACACTGCGTGTATAAGAAAAATAATAATACGTTTTGAACTTAACAATTTTCTGATGAACTGCAAATGCATTATGTATTTCACGATAATAAAATTGCAAGATGCAACGAGTAAAAGGAATTTTTTATTTTTTTGCGCTGCTAAAGATAATTTTACAGCCAATAAGTATTTTTATAATAAAATAAATTTTTTAGATAATTATGACTCGAAATATAATATTTTAAAAACTGATTTTATATAAAATTAACTATACAAAGTGAATAAATTAAAAGTTATATACGTACAAAATTGTTATACAATATATTTCTATGTTTCGTTAGAGGCATGTAATTTTTAAATTTTAAACCTTTATTCGAATTATAAACCTTTATATAAATTTTTATTGAAAAATATATTTTTTGTTATGTAAAAGTATTACTAAAATAATAAATAGATGCATGGAATGTATTTTATAGTTTAATAGTTTATGTAGAATGAAAGCTCATCGGCGGTTGCCATTGAATGCTCATTAATCAGGTACCGTTTTTGTATGCCTCGGTAACCTTCCATCTTGATGGATTTAGGACGGACTCTTGTTTGAAAAAACGTGACACCAAGGTTGTGTTCGTGGTTTTCATGATTTACGACTTTATTGCGTTTGTAATGCATGATACGTAAATCTACACTTCTACTCTATCTTCGCATTTTTCTTAGGAAAAATAGTATTTTTGACAAGGAACGAACATATAAATATTATTTTTTAAAAATGTTTCTATATTTCTTTTTGCGTTGGAAATAATATCTGCTGAAATATATGTTTCATCTTATTGAGTTCTGATGAGGGATATGATATATATACGTTATGCATTGTGATATAATTAAAATCGATATAGAGTCTCTGTTTAATAAAAGTTACGACGTATACGCACGTGTATTAATCTTGCTACATTAATTCACAATTTTTCTGTGAACTGGCGAAATGTATTAACATCTTTAATTTATAAAAAGACGCTATATAATAAAGGTTTGTGAATAGTTCGAATTTGAATCGAATCGAATTGAATTATAGTAGACTCGAGAAATTCGAAATCGAATAATTTTCAATTATCGATGGTTAAATTTTGAATTAATTGCCTATTTTATTTTCTTTATTTATGCATATCTCTTTCTTACATATATCACCTGTACGATCAATCTTTATATCAGAACGTACTAATTCTCGATGCATGTGCAGTTATTTATATATCATTGTGTATCGTCGATTATCATTGAATTCTATTGGCTGCGTTGAAAAGACAAAGCCTATGATTCTTTATTACGATTGATTTGTACATTTAGATCTAATAAAGAATTAAGAGCAAAAACTAATCATATTAAAAAATGCAACCTACAGTAATGCCAGAAATAAGATTTATTTTTTATTAAAAGACGTCTTTTTAATACACTTTAATACACTTTCATATTGGTCATATTGGTTACTTTTTGGTATTATTTGTAAATTAAAAATGATTTATTTTTTCGTTTATTTAAACAAATTTGTAACGTTATTGAAAACACTTTTATTTCTAAATTAGCTTTTAATGTAAATCCGAAAAAATTTGATTTAAATTCGATTCACTTTTTCGAATAAAAAAGATTCGACGTAAAGTTCGATTCGATGTAAAAATTTCAAATTCAATTCGATTCGTTTTCGAACATATTATCAAAGAATTCGTTTCGATTCGACCTCACAAATGCTTGACTGCACATCTCTACCACATAAATCTACTTTATTAATTTAAACTTGAACTTTGAGATCTTTTACGAATCGTTACGAATATAAATTGGAAATGTATCAGTGCTTTGGAACGAGAATGATTGATATCATTTTATGAATAAAAAAATAGAGAACATTTCCTCTTTCATCGGAAAACGATGTCGTTTTCAGTGTTCCAAGGTATTGATGCAAAACTATCCTTTGTATCGGATATGCCAAATAGACTGGTTTTCCAAACGTGTGACGGATAGGTGATGCATTGATTCTACGTGAGCCTGAATACAACGTGGAGAAACAAAGTGTTATGTTTTGTTTTCAGGCGATATACGACATGCTCGGCGCGTGTTCGAGCAATAGGCCGGCAGACAGCGCAGAGGAAAGAGCGAAGAACATATTCGCGAAGATGGACGAGAACAACGATGGACAGCTGACACAGGAAGAATTTCTGAAGGGTTGCCTCCAGGATGAGGAGCTATCGAAGATGCTCGCTCCTTAATCCCGACGTCGCCGCACTTCCGCACGAGCCGTCGACGCGCGATAAAAGACACCACGCCCCACACCGACTCCCTCATAGAACTCGACGGAAACGTCAAAACGCCGGCAACAATAAGGCCACCACCGAAACGGACACTCGCGAACATACACGCATCATTTACACGCAACACGTATCAACGACAATTTCCTATTAACTATGACGTACGCTATTATTGTGACGGTTCGATAACCAGGCCGTCGCTCGTGCCCGACGGGGAGGGCACAAGCTATGATAACGGACGACGATTGAGGATGATAGATAAACGAGGAGGAACAGCGATTCAAATCGAATCACTGTCCTGATCCTCGTGGGAACAAGACTTGAAAGAGGAAAAATTTCACGAGAGACGATCGCAATGGCACACCGCTCGCCCAGATATTCGCACGGTTGACTGCAGGACAGCACAACGGTGATGTGTAAATGATCCTAGGAATGTCTCGTAAATATGAGAAACAAAGAGTGTGACACCATCGTTTATGACGGCGAGGGAATCTAATTAGCTTGTGGAAATCCTCATCTGTTTCGCGAACTCGCCACGTCGACAATCGCACGGTGGATTCCGCCTCGCCGAATTTGTCATCCGGATTCAGGAATGTCCTCGGAGTGCGGTGTTAGAATTAACGCGAATGAGCTTTACGTTCTCATCGAGGAAGGTGACAATGTCGGTTGTTAAGGACCGCGGAGTGGCTCTCGAAATCCGCGTTCGCACCGACGATTCAGCTTTACTGGTCCCGGACAAACGATTCGCTATCTCTTTCCGGATTATGGTCCCGTCTAGTAACAGAGACGAAGACCAGAAACCTCATGATCCTCTGATGCGCTTTAGGGGTTGTAGAGATTTCGCACATAGCTTCGTACAATTTTGCTTGTCGCAAACACAACTCTAATTTTATTCTGGATTTCGTAATAATTTCCAGAAGTTTCATGATGAGTCTTGCTAAACTGCTATTTTTTTGTGAAAAATTTTGCTTCGTTATAATATAATTGATAAAATTATTCAAGCTCGTCATAAATTTTTTTACAAACCGCTTGATTATTACAAATACTTGATCTAAAGTATTTGCAGAAGCACATTTTTGTATACATACAAATTACAAATAAATCTTAAATATAAATAGATCTTAAATTATATAATTCTGAAACTAATTACGATTAATTTGATCTGATTTAAGTCTATCAATTTTTTATCTTCAAATTTAAATCTTTGCACGAAGCTCGCTTTTTCTAATTCCCTGTAAGTACGTTAGAACAGCTCAAAGCCGACTGTGATTTCAATCTCGTGTAAACTACTTGTTTATCACTGTTAGTCTCCACTTCACTCCATTACTCATTCTGTAAGACTCGCTTGATTAGATTACGCCGTGAGAGCTACAAGGTTGACTTGTAATCCTAATTATACAGAAATTCTAAATAAGATAGGAAATTTATGTTGCATCAGAGGATTACAATCGGGATTACAATTGATCGAAGTCGGCGCAATTGGCCTGAAATTGTGATGTTATCGTAAACGCGAATGGAATTTCAGTGGAATTTCGCCGAGGGTGAAAGCAAAGATACCCATACGAGCGAGTCTCGTATAGAATTAACAATTGCGAGAAACTTACGCGCGTAAGACGCACGAGAGACGCATGCCACGAGCGATCGCGGATATGCGTCCTTTTTCTTTCTCGGACTTGCATTGATCGATCGATGCAGGTCGTATCCAAGATCGGCGTTGCGAGAGGGCGATGCCGGCCGCCGTCCGTGATATGACGACGGTGTTACGCGCCCGCGCGAGGTGCTAACACAACGAATTGCGAATTACGAGGTAATGTCGATTAGATAGGGGGAATAATATCGCTTAGGGGTGACACAACGTTAATTTTATACTGGCACACCGCGGGAAAGTATTGCATCGTCGACCAGCACGCGCGTCATCCCTCCGCTGAGAAATCGATACGTACCTCGCATACGATGTTATTACGGCGTGCAGAGGATGCGGAGAGTAGCACCTGCAGTACGAGTCGTATGTACATATTATCGTGTTCGCCAGAAATCCACCGGATGTCCGTCGCGCTCGTGGATTAAGGGAACGGTGGAGGGAAGCACTGCGGGAGGCGATAAAAGCGGATATTAATTTCCGGATACTCGAAATTCCTGTTCGAAACTCCGCGAGTCGCTTCGCAAATCTATGTATTCGCGCTTTCTTTTTTTATTATTTTCTCGCTATTTCCTTGGATATTAGATGTAACTAAATTTTCAACATGTATCTTGACTGCCGCGAGAAATTCATATAGAGGAATTCCGATGACAATGATTGTTATCAAAATAACAGTCTAGATATTTGAACGTCAGTCAGGTTTAATCTGATCTTAATTTATTTGCCCTCTTTGGAATAGGAATAAGAGAAGGATAAAAAGTAAATTAAACTATAGCTGAAGAGTTAACCGATGGGATCGACCAAACAAACCTCTTCTAATTATCGTCTGGTGCATTAATTTGCTTTTATGAGATTTGCGATGGTCTTTATTTCGATCGTTATTACGCGGGACGTCATCAGCCTTTTTTTTTTGTCACGTTGCAATTATACGGTGCAGAAAAAGAATGAACGATTAATTCCATTTACCATTCTAATCGATACGAAGGGGAATCGACCTCGTAACTGCATAATGATCGTTTTAATCCGTTCGACAGCGTGCTCGTCGACGTTTCGACACCTTCCATTACGAAGGCTTCGTGTTTTCTCTTTTTTTCTTTTTTCTTTCTCATATCCTGCACGTAGCATATATTGAGATACGTGTACCCGCGAGGAACACAATGTGTACCGAGATCAAATACTTTACGTGCATATATTTTAATTTAAGATTTATGAAAAAGCATCACACACGTACTACGGATATGCAACATCAAACGTGACGCTCTTTTTTTCTCTTCGCATGGCAAATAAATTGAGAAACTTGTGGCACGTGCGAAAACGGATGAATTGGTCATTTCCTGTCGAGAATCCTGTGCCTTGCGCCGAGTTGGTAAGTCATCATCATATATTATTTTGACCCGAATATGAAAGTTCTTGATGCTTTAAATACATTTCGAGCGATTATTTACGAGCGATCTCTTCTTATCGAAATCAATGAAAAAGATTTTTAAGGAAAGTTGAAGCTAAAATATTTTCTATTTTATCGAATGGTTCTTTCATTCTTTAATGGTGTTCTAAAAGCTTTCACGAATGCATCTTGAGATGCCTTACCATAATGCACAGAATTATCGACGTCCGTTGTATATATTTTGGCATGATCGGTTCCAAATGGCAGAAACGATCATTAAGCCCGCAGTACATCCATTATGTCTCGTTCTTGATTTATCCTTTCGTATGTGCTGCTGTGAATACTGCATAGCACACTGATATTATATACGTTACAGATTGCACCGTAATTGTTTGGTTATCCGTTTCCGATAATTCAGCAATTTCTCGCGATTTGCACTGTAATTTGAAGCATTTAAGTTTTTATTTTTACTACAATAACTAATTCTTTCGCGCACAGAGACTCTAGAGAAATTAAAAATCTTTCAGCTTTTAATATCTCTTTATATAAACGGAAGTTATTTATATATCTATCTTGAGTTACATGTTCAATAATGAGTAATAAAATTGTTCATATCTATGCTTGAAAGAAGGTATATGTTCAAAAGTTTGTCTTATTTCAAAGAGAAATTAATCTTGAAAACAAATTAGCGAAGTACCGATAAATTGAAGTAGATTGAAGTTCGTATCTAAAACGATAGAGATCTTAAATTAATCAGCCATATACCATTTCAAAATGCATGTTACACATGCTGTAACTTACAAACTAGTATCGACCTCAACACATACGTGTGCCGCGGGCTTTAAAAAGAATCGATCAGACAACCGAGCATAATAAGAAGCAAATGTCAGCTTGAAGAAGGCCAACGATAATTTTTGCATAACACGGTTAACTTCAGGTACTTTTTCTGCGGTGTAGCATCGCACGTGACACGAGAAATTCCCACGCAATACAACTTAGTTGCGCTTGGAACACATTGTGATCCTCGCGGATTACCTGGTGGCTAGAAATAAAATGCGTTGCACTTATATTCGCAGGCTTTTCACAAACGAGTCTCTTCTAATCGGTCGATTGAACGTATGCCACGCAAACGGATGAACGCAATAGATAATGACTCGATGAATGAAAATTAGTTTTTGATCTCTACGTGAAGAAGTTGTAACTATTAGACATTAATAAGTAGTGAGAATTATAAAAAGTTTTGAGATAACACAGAAGTGTAAGCGATCTAGCAATCGATGATAGGAAAAACGTAACTCTGAAATCAAAAAAACGTGTGTCGCGTATCTCGGTTCTCGTTGTGGATTATAAATTATTACGTTGGAACGTTTTAAAGACTATATAGTTTAATTGTTACTGTGTTTGAGCATATGAGAATTAATATTAGAACTAATTATTTTTCAACGTAATAATTTATGACTTGCACGTGAAGCTGATTCGGATTTGTTCATGAAATAGATATTAATCCGATTTATTAATCCGATTAGCATCCGAGATACAATATTCTCTATGCAATTGTTAGGCCACTCTGTATATTTGTATATTATCGTAAGATGAATCAAATTGATTAATAACTGTGGAAATAATATCGAATTAATATAGTCGTGAACACCGATATATTGAATGTTGGATATAAAATAAAATAAGAGACTCGCGGCGCGAGTAAAGTTATAAAACGTAATTGTACAAACAATTGTTTCCTGTCGATAAAGAATATTATTAAAATCAGTCGATGCGCGCGAATGGAAGAAAAAGAGAGAAGGAGAGAAAAAGCGGATGAAGGAGCTTTTAATTAAAATTTCTATTCATCCTTCAGTGTCATTCGCCTGCAGTTATTAAAACGAGTAAAAGAAAAGAAGCCTGTAATCTCAGTCAACAACGTGGACGAATGTCGTTAAAAATTTGCATCGCAACGCGTAGATTACAACGTGCTTGTGATATCGATTCGAATTAGATCCGTTTAATTGAGATGGATTCTACTGTAATTCTTGGATGAACGAAGTATATTTGAGAATCCTGTATATCTTACAGGTTTCGTAAAGAATAATGCAGGAATTTCAGCAATCTACATAGAATAATGAACGTTTTCAAGATAGCATTACAGATTGCATGTTCTACAGAGATCTGTTATAATTAAACGATCGATAGCTTTAATAAAGTGAAATCTCCTTGGCAAGTTTTGCATAAAAATATTATAATTATGATCTAGGAGAGTTTTGCTTTCCGAATCGGCAAAATATACTCGTTAAAATTGTAGAGCTGGAAGGCATCACTCTACTCTGTATTTTCCAAATATGGAATGTTCTTTTATGCTCTCGATATTTCACAAATTAACATTTTTTATTGATAAACTTGGTATGAGAATAATTATT